CGGGAGCGCCGCCACGCTTCCCAAGTGGCGCACTATCCAGTGCGCCACAGGGCCGGCCCAAAGAAAACATAATTTTAAAAACAATAAACTAGAAAGAACCCAGGAGTGAATATGCACAGCACAACCCATAAGGACTCAAGATAAAAAGGTCGTGAAAAAAGGGAGAACTTTTAAAATAAAAAAGAAATGAAGATCCAGCATATATATAATAGGAGTCAATGAAAAATGAAAACCAAAATAGTATGTTAAAACTGTATCAAAACTAAAGTGTATATTTAGTATTTTAATAAATACTAATATCATACCTTAAAAGTTTTCTGAAAAATGAAATGACTTAAAATTACATGTTGAAAGGGCAAATTGCATATTCAGAAAAATTACCCAGAATAACCTGTACCAGAGCATATTTTAGAAAAACTATTGGACTTTGAAGAAAAAGAAATTTCCTTTAAGCCTTTAGGAAAAATAAAAACCTCCCTCGCTTATAAAGGAAAGAAGTTCACTATGTCATCAGAGTTATGGATAGTAATCCTTCATTCCAGAAGAAAATGGAATAACATCTTTATGGTACTCCATAAGTAAAATGTGAGCTATGGATGTTGTATCCAGTTAAGCTGACTTTCAAGTATAAAGCCCACCGACAAACTATTGTCAACATGTGAGAACTCAAAAACTTATTTCTTCAAGCACTTCCTGAAGAATTTACTAGAGAATGAGTTTTAGATCATCAAAGTGACTGAATAGAATTTGGACATAAGGACTGGTAGAGAGTTTATGATTAAGTAAAAGTTAGGAGAGAGATCATATAGTGTGTACCATAGACATACCACACAGTGTAGACAGACCAGCTCTATAAAAAATAGAAGTGGGGAATAGGAAGCCCAAATGAAAAGTGCAACAGCACACTGTTTGCTCTATAGTAGCAGCTGGAATTAAAAGGATAATATTGCAAATCAGATACGGAAGAAGAAGGAAAAGAAGAGATAAAAGAAGTTACTAGCTAATTTCAATATAGCTCTTAATAGGGAATAAATTTTTTAAAAAAA